CAGGAGGAGGCGGCTGCCGGGGTGGCACCGTCCCCAAGGGTGTCAACGTGTCCCCAAGGGTGGCACCGTGTCCCCAAGGGTGGCACCGTGTCACCAAGGGTGTCAACGTGTCCCCAAGGGTGGCACCACGTCCCCAGGGGTGGCACCTTGTCCCCAAGGGTGTCAACGTGTCCCCAAGGGTGGCACCGTGTCCCCCAGGGTGTCCCCAAGGGGTCCCCAAAGGTGTCACCATGTCCCCAAGGGTGGCACCTTGTCCCCAAGGGTGTCAACGTGTCCCCAAGGGTGGCACCTTGTAACCAAGGGTGGCACCCTGTCACCAAGGGTGTCCCCAAGGGTGTCGTGTCCCCAAGGGTGGCACACGTCCCCAAGGGTGTCAATGTGTCCCCCAGGGTGTCCCCAAGGGTGGCACCATCCCCAAGGGTGGCACCGCGTTCCCAGGGGTGGCACCCTGTCCCCAAGGGTGTCAACATGTCCCCAAAGGTGTTGCCATGTCCCCAAGGGTGTCATTGTCACCAAGGGTGTCACTGTGTCCCCAAGGGTGTCACCGTCCCCAAGGGTGGCACCGCGTCACCAAGGGTGTCCCCAAGGGTGTCCCTGTCCCCAAGGGGGTCCCCAAGGGTGTCACCTTGTTCCCAAAGGTGTCCCCAGACTCATCACTGTGTCCCCAAACGTGTCCCCAAAGAGATGGGCCCCAGCGCCCCATTTTGGGGACTGTTTGGGGTATTTTGGTCCCAGGGCCCCATTTTGGGGCTATTTTGGCCGTTTCGGGGCCCTGTGACCTCATTTTGGGCTGTTTCCAGCCGTTTTGTTCCCCTGGCCCCATTTGGGGCCCTTTTATGACCGTTTGGGGCTATTTGGGGCCCCCGACCACTTTTTGGGGCTGTTTTCCACCATTTGGGTCAATTTGAGCCCTCTGGGCCCCGTTTGGGGCAATTTGGGGCCATTTTGCCCCCGTTTTGGAGCCATTTCTTGGCTTGTGGGGCCTGTTTTGGCCCCCACACCCATTTTGGGGCTATTTGGGGCCTTTTGGGGCTATTTGGGGCCCCTTGGCTCCCTCTTGGGGCATTTTGGGGCCACTTTCCCCTCCCTGAGCCCCTTTTGGGGCTGGTTTGGACCATTTCGGGTGCCCTGAGCCCATTTTGGGGCCATTCCATGGCTTTTGGGGCCTGCTTTGGCCCCGACCCCACTTGGGGCTTTTTTGGGCCATTTTACCCCGCTCCCTGTTCCCATTTTGGGGCTATTTGGTCCATTTTGCTCCCCTGAGCCCGTTTTGGGGCTATTTCGGCCCATTTCGGGCTACATTGGCCACCCTGACCCCATTTTGGGGCTGTTTGGGTCCACTTTGGTCTATTTTGGGTCTCCCAGCCCCATTTTGGGGCTATTTTGCCACCCCTTGAATCCATTTTGGGACTATTTTGGTCCAATGGGGCCAATTCCCACCCCCCCTCACTTCATTTTGGGGCAGTTTTAGTCCATTTGGGGCCCCTGACCCCATTTTGGGGCCGTTTTGGTCCGTTCAGGCCCCTTCAACCCCATTTTGGGGCCATTTTGCTCCATTTTGGGCTATTTAGGCACCCCCAACCCCATTTTGGGGCTGTTTTGGTCCGTTCAGGCCCCTTGACCCCATTTTGGGGCCTTTTCGGTCCATTTGGGGCTACATTGGCCCCCCAACCCCATTTTGGGGCCGGTTTGGTCTATTTTGGGCCTCTCAGCCCCATTTTGGGGCCATTCTGGCCCATTTGGGCTCCTTCAACCCCATTTTGGGGCTGTTTTGGTCCATTGGGGCCCCCCCAACCCCATTTTGGGGCCGTTCGGGGCATTTCCGGGAGCCGTGTGACCCCACGCGGGGCCCAGGCGTCCGGGCGCCCTTCCCCCCCCATGGACAGACTTGACCTTCGGCTGCCGGCTCTTTATTCGGCCCGGGGGGGACGGGGGGACAGACGGACACCGGGGGGGGGGGTCACCCCCCTTGTCCCCTGTCCCCACTGGGGGGTCCGGCCCCTCCCCCATCCCCCCTGACCCCCCCAGAGCCCCATGGGGCCAAGGAGGAGGAGGATGACGATGACCGCGACAAGGACGTTGACCACGGCGATGGCGACCGTTGACGTTGACCATGACGTTGACCGTGACGTTGACCGTGACGTTGACCGTGACGTTGACCGTGACGTTGACCGTGATGATGGCGGCCATGGTGACGTTGACCATGACGTTGACCATGACGTTGACCATGATGATGGCGGCCACGGTGACGCTGACCATGATGATGACCACGATGTTGACCATGACATTGACCATGACGTTGACCATGACACTGACCATGACGTTGACCGTGATGATGGCGGCCGTGGTGATGTTGACCATGATGACGACCACGATGGTGACCGTGACGTTGACCATGTTGGTGACCGTGACGTGGACCATGATGTTGATCATGATGACGGGTGACCAGTGACGTTCTGAGCACGATGACTATAACGACACTGATGACGCTATGAGATTGACCATGATGTTGACCATGACGTGGACTATGACGTTAACTGTGATGATGACGACCGCTGACGTTGACCATAACGTGACTGTGGCGACCATAACGATGGGCATGACGTTGACCGTGACGTTGCTGGCCATGACGTTGACCACAACGATGTTGCTTGTGATGACGATGACCGCCATGACGTTGACACTGGTCGCATTGACGGTGGCCGTGCTGATGGTCGCAATGGTCATGGTTTGGTCGTGACGGCGTTGCCTGGGATGACATTGGCCGCGATGACGGCGATGACGCTGACGTTGGTCACGTTGACGTTGATGCGTGATGCCGACATCGGCTGCGTTGACGTTGGTCACGTTGGCGGTGGCCACGCTGATGGTCACGCCAACGATGGCCGCCATCGCGTTGGTCACGATGACGTGGGGCGCGGCTTGGCCGTGACGGCGTTGCTTGGGATGACGTTGGCCGCGATGACGACGACCGCGGCCACGTCGACGCCGGTCACGTTGACGTCGGTCACGTTGACGTCGGTCACGTTGACGTCGGTCACGCTGACGGCGGCGACGGTGACGACGGCGACGGCTCTAGCCGATGGTGAGGCCGAAGCCGCACTGGAACTTGTTCTTGCGGTGGTTGAGGAAGGCGCCCATGGCCAACGTGAGCGGCAGCGGCGGCAGCTTCTTCTCCAGCACGGCGCCCACCACCCAGTTGCTGT